CCCCCCAGTTGTATAACAACATGTAGGCCCCTGCCTCATATTTCTTGCTCTTTTCTCTTCCTCCAGGTGTGCCACGCGACCAGCCAATCACTGACACCTCAGCAATCAACTGTCACTATACAGTACATGGAGGGTGACACGGCTATCTTGCCATGTTCTCTGAGCCGTGAAGGACGATATTCGGTAAAGATTTATACAGATTAACTGTTAGACCTCCTGAATTTTTCTTTTTTTGTATTAGTTGGATGGGTTCTGTTTTGTTTGGGTTTTTTTTCAAATTCTATTTTTCTAAGCTTTTTGTGGAGGAGGGGGTGTTTTTTGTTTTGTTTTTGTTTTGTGTTTTTCGGGGGGCGGGGGGTGCAGGTGGGGGTGAGGAGGAGAGAGGGTAACGTAGTGTGTGTATGTGTATACAGTGGAACTCGGATTCAACGAGGTCGCCGGGCCTGACCTAAAATCTCGTTGAATCCGAGTGTTCGTTATAGCAAGCACAAGGTTTTTATGTAGATAATTACAGGCACTGAGCAAGTAATCATGTATAAAGAAGAAGTCACAAGTAGTGCCTGCGATGCCAGCGTATTTTGAGCCGCGTAAAAAAAAAAAGACCGATTTGTTCAAATGCACACGTCTGTGTAATCTCGATTGTTTACCAAAACTTGTGTTGCTGTGTAGAGCCTAGCGTACGGCAACTTTTGATTCCATAGACCAGCGCTCAATTCATTACGTAGCTCTACGTCAAGACTAGCTTATCATTCATTGTAATAATGATCAGTTGCCGAGGGGAAAAAAGACTGACGCGTTTGTATCTGCGACGTTCAACGCCCGGGCCGCTAGTACCCGCGTGGTTCTGCTCCAGGTTCCGCTGTTTACCTGAGGTGTCTTACGTATGTGATAACACTAACGCCAAACAGACAAAAGACTTTGTGCCTTGTGCTTGCCTTTTCTTCAAGTTCAAGCAAAAGCCAAACGCTAAATAGTAATACAGAGGCCAAACTCGTTTTCCCTCTACTCACTATCACATGTATTTCTTATGCACAATTTTGATGAATATTCTTGATTAGAATTTTTTTTAACCTTGCAGATCGCTGTAAACAGAATATTGAAAATTACATTCTATAGCATTGGTTTGGGCTTTTCCTCCCACACGCACGTACGCACACATACGCACACACGCATACACGCATACACGCGCGCACACACACACACACACACACACACACACATACACACACACATACACACACACATTACACATCACACACACACACACACACACA